GGCCCAGATGCAGGGCACAGGGTGCGAGTGAGGTAGGCACAGACACCACCAGGGGCACACAGGAGGTGGGTGAAGGCTCCGGCTCGGTGGGACACGGCGAAGCAGGGCCCAGCGCGGCTGGCCGGGCACAGGTGAGCTTGGGCACGAGCTGGTGCCCACACGTGGACCACCCAGCCGTCTGGATCCCGAGTCCCTGGGAGACGAGGCCGCCTCCCCCAGCCCTGGCCAGGCCCCTGCAAACGCAGGAGACAGAAGCCCCCCAGCCCCGGGCAGGGGCGACGGAGGCCCCCACTGGGCCAGTCTCACCACAACCCCAGGGTGCTCCCTGTGACAGCTGGGGAAACTGAGTCAGAGTCCTACAGCTTCAGACCCAGTGGGAAGCTGCAGCACAATGAGGGGTCTTCCAGGGAAGACTGGGCACCCCACCGAGCCCACATCCAGGCTCCCGGGCTCCGGACCATGGGGCCCAGCCTCTCCTGTCTGCCACCCCCCGCCCCCCGCACACGTGCACTGCTCGCAGGGCCCTGCCCGCCGGCCTGGGGTGGGGGACGGGAGCCCGGGCTGTGAGCAGTGGGAGGAGGAGACACCCTCCTGCTGGTTCGGACAGCCTGGCTGGGCTGCCCTTCTCCGTGGGGACAGACCTGGCTGAGTGGCCTCAGGACAGTGCCTCGGCCTGGGGGACAGGAATGGGGTGGGTGGGCGTGCAAGGGACAGGGCTCTGGGACCCCCCCCCCCCCAGGAGGCCAGCCAGGGGCACCAGGCCTCGAAGGACAGTGGGGCCGCTGCTTTGGCGTTGGGTGGGGAGCAGGGTGCCATGAAGCACCGGGTCCCCCCAGGCCCCCATCACTGGGCGGCCTGGGCTGCAGTGAGTGGAGACAGGACAGGCCGCATCCTCAGCAGCTGGACACAGACCCTCAACAGGCACCCAGAGGCGGCTATCAAGTCCATGGGGGGACCCCTCCTCTCCCCTGCAACTTCCCTCCCCTCCCCTCCACCTGTGTGCTGGAGCTTCAGAGACAGAGAGACTGGCCAGAGCTGCTCATGCTTAGAGTGCCGGCCTGTGCACCCAAGGGTCTCGGGTTCGATTCTGGTCAAGAGCACGTCCCTCGGTTGCAGGCTGGATCTCTGGCTCCAGTCTGGGCACTTGTGGGAGGCAATCAACTGATGTGTCTCTTTCACATCGATGTTTCTCTCTCTGTCTTTCCCCCTCTCGTTCACTGTCTCTCTCTCAAAAAAAAGAAGTCAATGGGAAAAATATCCTTACTTGAGGATTAACAGCGAGGGGGCCGGAGGGGGGGGCGGGGGGAGAGAAACTCAGTTGTTCTTACGAAATATCCTGAAGATATCAGCAACTATTGCAGAGTCTGGGCCCAGAGTCCCTGCCCACGGACAGCACAGGTGTGAGCTCTCCGCGCCCGCAGGTGGCTGCAGGACGCCCACTGGACGCCGCCTCCTTCCTCTTCCCAGGGCTGTGGAGGGCACTGCCAGCGCCCGCTCTGGGCCTAGAGGGGATGTGTGCCCTGCAGGGTGGTCAGCAGCCCCTGGAGCCCATGACAGGAGGCTGGGCTCCGACCCCAACAAGGACTTGGCCGCCTCGCTTTCTCCGTCCTCTGTCTCTACCTCGCTCCACCCTCCGCTCCCGGGGTGAGAAGACCCCTGCCTCATGCCCCGACTCCAGGGGGCGGGGTGAGTGAGTCAGTGGGGCCGGGGTGGAGCCGGGCAGGACGGGGCGGGAGGGGCAGAGGCCTCGGGCGAGAGGTCCGTGGGGCCCTCGGGAAGGCGGCAGCACGGGCTCTGGTGGCCGCCCTGAGGCCTCAGCCGTGCCTCCACTCCTGGGAAAGTGGGGACAACAGTCTGCGGCCCAATGAGCTCTCGTCTGGGCTCAGCACTGGAGGCACCCAGCCGTGTGATCTGAGGCCGGAGAGGGGGACACACCTGCCTGAGCTCACACAGCGACGTGGGGCAGCAGGGTCACTTGTCCCTCCGTCCGTCCGTCCGTCACCGGCCGCACTGCGGGCACACCTCCAGGTGCTCGGCGCTGGGACGGGGTCAGGTGACGCCGGTGGCCTCCGACCCTGCCGCCTTCCTCGCGTGTGTTCTGCTGCTCGCTCCCCAGGCCCCGGGTTGGGCCACAGCTCCTAGCACGCGGGCCTTGGTGTACTGTTCTTTGGCTCTTCCTGCAGGTCTTTGCGAGACTGCTTGGTGCCACCTCCACAGAGAGCCCTCCGCCCTCGGCGGTGGGGCTGTGCCCTCTTGTTTGACCTCCCCGGAGGGCGGCAGCAGCACTGCACAGGCCTGCCAGCGGAGGAGCTGTTCCCTACCATGAGACCCAGGGAGCCACCCCGAGCAGGAGCGGAGGCGCAGGGACCAGGCGGGCTTGACGGGCTTGACGTGCAGCTGTGCCCGCCCACCACCCTCCCAGGGCACAGCAGGCCACCCCTGTGCCCAGGGGCTGCGTCAGCCCCTAAAGCCCCAGCACCCAGGCCTGGGGGACTCGAGCTCTCGTCGGAGGGTGTCTGCAGGCGTGCTTCCCCTGTGACCCCCTGGGCCACTGCAGCCGAGTCCCCAGGGGCTCCGGTGCTTCCCCAGGGCCGTGGTCAGCAAACTCTAGTCCGCAGAGCCAAACATCAACAGCACAACGCCTGAAATTTCTTTTGAGAGCCACATTTTTTAAACTTAAACTTCTTCTAATGCCACTTCTTCAAAATAGTCTTGCCCAGGCCGTGGTATTTTGTGGAAGAGCCACACTCAAGGGGCCAAAGAGCTCGCCAGCCACAGTTTGCTGACCACGGCCAGGGGTTCCGGGTGGACCCGAGGGGCTCCGGGTGGTACCGGGGGTTCCGGGTGGACCCGAGGGGCTCCGGGTGGTACTGGGGGTTCCGGGTGGACCCGAGGGGCTCCGGGTGGTACCGGGGGTCCCGGGTGGACCCGAGGGGCTCCGGGTGGTTCCGGGGGTTCCGGGTGGACCCGAGGGGCTCCGGGTGGTACCGGGGGTTCCGGGTGGTACCGGGGGTTCCGGGTGGTACCGGGGGTTCCAGGTGGACCCGAGGGGCTCCGGGTGGTACCGGGGGTTCCGGGTGGACCCGAGGGGCTCCGGGTGGTACTGGGGGTTCTGGGTGGACCCGAGGGGCTCCGGGTGGTTCCGGGGGTTCCGGGTGGTTCCGGGGGTCCCGGGTGGACCCGAGGGGCTCCGGGTGGTTCCGGGGGCTCCGGGTGGACCCGAGGGGCTCCGGGTGGTACCGGGGGTCCCGGGTGGACCCGAGGGGCTCCAGGTGGTACCGGGGGCTCCGGGTGGACCCGAGGGGCTCCGGGTGGTTCCGGGGGTCCCGGGTGGTGGCTGTGTGATCCCCAGGGCCTCCTGGTGCCCCTGTGACCAAGGCGGCCCGGCCCCGGGGAGGAGCTGCGCTCTGTGCCCCGGAGCCGAGCGAGCTTCTCTGGGGTCAGATTCCTGGTCCCCACAATCAGCCTGCACTCCCAAAAGCCCTGCCTGGATCCAGGCTGGCAGTGCCTCTGAGAGAACAACACCCGCCCCTCTGCTGTCAGGGCCAGACTGGCCTGGGTGCCCAATCTTCAGGGCTCCCCAAAACCTCAGAGGAAGGGGCCATCGCCCTCCCCTATCACAGGGGGGCTGCCGGAGGCCGTCCCAAACACCTTAGAGTGGGGGCTCATGTCTGAGGTGGGTCCCCAGGAGCTAAGAGTGGGCAGCTTTTATCAGTGTGTCCCCGGTGTTCAAAAAGGGCCTGCGCCTCAGCCAGGTCCCCACAGTGCAGGCAAGTGCGTCACAGCCTCAGCTCCCACGGGCCAAGTAGAGAAGGTGGAAGTGTATGTGGCCACAAAAAACAAAAGCTTTTGTTTTCATAGAAACGTAGGTTTATTCCGATAGAGACATGCTGATTACAAAGGGCTGAAATAAAGGAGTCATCCTTAACATAAAATAACTGAACATTTTAATAAAAATTAAAATTTTTCTTGAATAGTAACTTACTAGACACTGAACAACTGCACAAATTATAAGTGTAACACAAATAGACCTATTTTTCTCGCTCTCCAAAGCAAAATGTATCCTGTTTCGCACACCAAACAAGTCAGTCCCAGACTAATGACGTGGTCATCGGCCGCTAAAATCTCCGCTGCTGGTGTTAGTGGAGGAAATGGTGCGCCTGCGTGTAAGGAAAATGAACGTAACAGGATTCGAGTAATCAACCATTAGCGAACGTTGTAGTTCGTTCTTAATAACTAGAGGCCCGATGCACAAATTCGTGCATGGGTGGGGTCTGCCCGCCCTGCCCCAATCGGATGATCAGGGGCAGGGCTGGTGGGGAATGGAGGGAAGGGCCACAGGTCAAACTCCCAGTGGAACTCCTGGTTGAGGGGCCAATTCCAATATTAGCCTTTTATTATATAGGATTATGTATAACGAGATATTGTAAAAATTAAGTTATGAAGTTTTTATTAAAATGTTTCTTACATACCGTTATATTGGCTGGGCCACAAAAATATTCATTCTGGGCTGTGAGCTTGACATGCGTGGTGTAGAGGGAAGGACTCATGTCTTAATTAGGGCTCAGGTAGCTCAGAACATGGGGGTCCCAGGGCTCAGAGCAGGGGTGCCCTCAGGGGCCCCCAGGAGCTCGGCGTAGATGGCCCACGTGGAGGTGGTTCCCAAAGCTCAGGAGGGTGGTGTCTGAGGGGCGTCCCAGATGCAGAGAGGCGGGAGTGTTTGGGTGTTTCCCCAGTACCCAGAGCGGGAGGTCTGTGTCTGAGGTGGTCCCAGCAGCTCCGAGGGGCGGCCCTGTGTCGGGGGGGAGGAGGGGGAGCAGCTGCGGGCAGGGGTCTGTGATCCAGGGCTCTCCTGGCTGCGGGGCTCAGCGGGCGGCTGCGTTCAGGTGTGGAAGGGGAGGCGGTGACCAGTGACGGAGGGGAGAGCGAGCCGGAGGAGGGCAGAACACCAACGCTGGCATCCTGAGTTGAATGGTGTCACCCCAGGCTCATGTCCACCCTGAACCTTAGTACGTCAGGTTGTTGGGAAGCCAGGTCTTTGCTGAGGAGAGTGCGGATCCTAAAGCCGCTGGCCAGGGGAGGACGCATGGGGGAGGCTGTGCGATGGCGGAGGCGGAGACTGGCACCCAGGGTCATGGAGCGTGCAGGCCGGAGTGAACGGAGGCTGCTCCCCAGGGCTCACAGAGGGAGCACTCCTGCTGATCCCTGGCCTCTGGCTGCGGCCCGGAACAAGGAGCGAGGAAGCCCGCTGCGTATGCAGCCATGGAGCTGTGGCCGTCATTGAGCAGCCTCAGCAAGCAGCGCAGCCCTGGTACAGGAGGAGGTCCGGTGCCGACCCTGTCCCCGAAGCTGGCAGTGCCATGGCCGGGCATGCGGATGCTGAGGGGCCGAGGCCTCAAGGGAAAAACCTAGATTCCCCTGGAGCGGGGCCTGGTGAGGAGAGGACACACAGAGGAGGTGGAGGAGCGGGGCCTGGTGAGGAGAGGACGCACAGAGGAGGTGGAGGTGGAGCAGCAGGGCCTGGTGAGGAGAGGACACACAGAGGAGGTGGAGGAGCGGGGCCTGGTGAGGAGAGGACGCACAGAGGAGGTGGAAGAGGAGCGGGGCCTGGTGAGGAGAGGACACACAGAGGAGGTGGACGTGGAGCAGCAGGGCCTGGTGAAGAGAGGACACACAGAGGAGGTGGAAAGGAGCGGGGCCTGGTGAGGAGAGGATGCACATAGGAGGTGGAGCAGTAGGGGGGAGGTTGCAGCTGGCAAGGAAGAGCAGCCACTCAGATTCCCAGGCCTAGGAGGCCCTGGGCTCACTCGTCTGTCATCACCTGCCCTGTGCCCACAGGTGATGGTTGGTGGTGACCTTGTCTGATCTGGATGGTTCTCTTTAACACGAGCCCCACGGCCCAGTGTCTGCCCTGCAGAGCCCTCTGCCCCAGGAGAGGGAGCGGCCACAGACACAGGGGCTCCCGGCTCTGGTCTGGGGGGCCCGTGTGGGGTCTCAGGTGCCAGGAGGAGGGTGGGTGGAGAACAGAGACACAGAAGTGAGCGTGGGCACAGCCTGGAGCTGTGGCAGCTTCCCCTCCGCCTTCTGTCTCTTGGATGTTTGTTCCCAGAAGCCAGCGGCTGTGGTAAGGAGGCCCAAACTCCTTCCCCACAGGAGAGGGCGCTGTCCAGCCGGGAGAGCCTCCCCAGGCTCTGAGGGGGGCTGAGCGGGGCTGCGGCCTTGCCCTGGGCTCTCTGTCTCCTCTCCTGGAGGACTCAGAGGTGCGTGGCCCTGGCCTCCTGCTGGGGACCGGGGACCATGGGCACGGGCCTCCCTCAGAACTGAAGCTGCCAGCGGCCATCACCGCGCCCGAGGCGGCCCCTGGGAGGCAGGCCTGAGCCACCTCCGGTGTGGGAGGACGCTCCCTGGGCTCCCGGTCATCAGGAAAGTGTAGCTGCGGTGCAGGATGGAGGGGCCAGTGGCACGGGGTCTGTGCTGAGCAGGGGGAGGCCAGCAGGGAGCACGGAGGGAGAGGAGTTGGAGAGCAGGCTCACACACTTGGGGGTGGTGCCAAGTGCCCTCCTCCCCTGGGCATGCTCTGGGCAGGCTCACTAAGCCTCCGGATGCCTGACCAGCACGCACTGCTTCCTGCTGCTTCCCCAGCAGCGGGGCTGTGGGCACACGCCCTGTCCCAGTGGCCGGGCCCTCTCATTACAAGGGAGCCCTCAGCCCAGCCGGTGCCAGGCTCCCAGCACGCACGTGCCTCTGCCAGCACAGTCCGCTCTCTGCCTCGGGCTCCCACTCTGAGGGAGGCGTCCACCACGTGTGTCCTGGGGATGGCATTCAGAACTGTCCTGTCCGTGTGGACACCGCACCGCCTTAGCCGGTGTCACTTCCTGCTTTCTGCTCAGACAGCAGGCCCAGCTCACAGACAAGAAGTCAGGCGGCAGCACGACGTCACCCCGTTCTGGGGTGGAGACCAGGGGCACGTCCCAGCTCGGAGGCTCACGCACAGGCCGCATGCCCACAAGCAGTCACTGCACCTGTGGCCAGAGGCTCGCTGGCATCTGAAGGCCAGGGTTCAGACCAGGGTGGTGAGTGGGCTCCAGGCAAGGGCAGCGGCTCTTGCTGTGGGACACCGGGGCCTGTGCGTGGAGGGTGGCAAGCAGCCTGGCAGAAAACGTCGCAGGGGGGTGGGGGGAGTCCTATTTTTAATTTTTATTTTTAACTGACTTCAGAGAGGAAGGGAGAGGGGGACAGAGACATCAATGATGAGAGAGAATCATTGATCGGCTGCCTCCTGCACACCCTCTCCTGGGTACTGAGCCTGAACCTTGACTGGAATCAAACCTGGGACCCCGCAGTCCACAGGCTGATGCTCTGGGGGAAATTCTTTTCTCCCAAAATACCTAGCTCTTTGCAGCTACAAGCTCGGATTACTTTTATTTTTAAAATGCTTTTAATTTTAAAAGCTTAAAGAAGAAGGGCAAAGCCCAGGAGGCCACCTGCTATGTGACTCTTAACTTGCAATGGAACTCCTTGGACTTGGAAGTAAAAATGAAGAATATTTATTTAGAGAAAAACAGAGGCATTTTACAATTCTAGGTATTATTGAATTTGAGGGAAACACACCAATAATCACCTCCCCTACCAGGCTGATGCCGGGCTCCCTCAGGCCACCAGTGCTGTGGGTGATGTGCCAGGGCTGGGGGCTGAGGCAGCAGCCTCAGCTAAACTGGTGGGAAGAAAAGACCACCAGACTAGACCCTAAACCACCCCCCCCCCCAATATCTCTGGCAGCATGTGGAAGCCCATTTTACAGAGCACAGCACTGAGGCCGGGCTTTCAGGCTCCTCCCCCTGCACCAGCCTCCTTGGTTCCTTACCCCAGACTGTGTGCTCCCAGCTGCAAACCTAGACAGGGAGTAAGTAATGGGGTGGGAGCAGAGAAGTCAAGGCTATTGTCAGTTCCTCGGCATCAGTGCTGGGCTCTCCTTGCCTTCTGGCCAGCTGCCCACCCGTTGTCTCCACCAAGGAAGCCCGATGTTCTCTCCGACTCGCAGACATGGCACAGGCTTTAAGGTCAGAGAAGACCTATGCTAGGCAGGCATCCGGGAAGGCTCCCTGAGGAGGTGGCTGAGCCTGAGGGCCTGGAGACCCCCACCAGCTCCGCCCAGGCCCTGCCCCACTCCGCCCCACCCCGCCCAGGCCCCGCCCCGCCCCGCCCAGGCCGCCCCGCCCAGGCCGCCCGGGGCTGGGCTGGGACGCAGAGAGCCTGGGAGCTGGCAGAGCCAGGAGCAGTGGCAGGTGCCCAAGCGCTAGCGCTATGTAGGAGCCGGTCACCGCTCCCTGGCCTCAGGAGGTGACAGCCTCCTCTCCCGCAGACGAGGCCCGCCAGGTGGGGAGTGTGGCTGGCTCTGTGCCCGGCTAGCGCCTGGCCTCAGGCACCCGAGGCCCGGGAAAGGTGCCCGGGGCAGCCAGTGCCTCCGTGCGGGGCCCGGTGTGGCACCACACGTGGTTTCCTTGGCACAGCAGGGGGTCTCGGGCCACCCAGCCCCAGATGGCACAGACGGAAGCTGGCCACACGCTTGAACAGCAGAACGTGTATTGGAGCCGCGGAGGGCCCAGAAGGCGTGTCTGTATGGACTGAACCCCCTCCCCCGGGCACGCCCCTTCCGGAGGCAGGTGCAGTCCGTCAGGGCGGGTGACTGGGCCGGACAGACAGCGCTGTGCCCGCGGGGGGCGTTCGGACAGACTCCGTGGGCCGGCAGCCCTGTGGGGCCACCAGGGACTGAAGGGCCTGGGACCGAGCCTTCCGGGCACGGCCCGGTTGGCGCGGCTGCCGGCACCTTATCTCAGACTTCCGGCCTCCAGCCCCCAGCAGTGCATCCTGGTGCCCAGGCCCGGGAGCAGCCCCTCCAGGCCAGGCTGGGTCGGCAGTGGGCTCCTGGGGGCCTGGGCCAGCGAGGCGCTGCGGCAGCCCCCACAGCTCCAGCCTGCAATTCGGGGTCACCGGCCCCCAGCCTGGCCTGCCTAAGGCAGCGCCCGCCGCGCAGCCCTGTGCCTGGTCCGGCCACTCAGCAGGGAATTCTGGATTCCAGGCCCCTGGGTGTGGTCTGGGCGGGGGGCGGGGTGGGATTTGAGGTCGCTGCGGCCGCTGACGCCCTGGCTTCCCGAGGTGGCAGAGGAACTGGGTGCACAGAGGGACTGCAGAGGTCTGAAGTGGGAACCACCGGCTGAGCCAGCCTCTCCCTGTCCTCTGGCCTCAGCGCCCTGACTCGGCGAGCAGGTGCCCCCGCACCGCTGTGCCCGGGAGCCCCCGGTGCCCGCCGCCGCCCGGGCGCCTCTCGCACCGCCTGTGCCCGCCGCCCGCCCGGCACCTCCCGCATCCCCTGTGCAGTCCCGCACCTCCCGCACCGCTGTGCCCGGGAGCCCCTGTGCCCGCCGCCGCCCGGGTGCCTCCCGCACCGCCTGTGCCCGCTGCCCGTCCGGCACCTCCCGCACCTCCTGTGCCCGGGAGCCACCCTGTGCTCACCGCCGCTCGGGTGCCTCCCTCACCGCCTGTGCCCGCCGCCCGGCACCTCCCGCACCGCCTGTGCCTCCGGCTGCCAGCGCGCTCACAAGTCGGGCCTTGTTAGGCGCCAGGACCGCCCGGTCACTCCGCCCGCAGGTCTCTCGCGCCCTCCGCGGTGCCCTGGGCGGGGCAGGCGGGGCGGGCGGGCCGCGGGTGCGCACCTGGCGCGCTGGCCAGACCCCAAGGCCTGGTCCTGCCCACGCCCGGTGCGGAGCGAGGCCGCACCCACCGCCTCGAGGGCGGCCGGACACGGCGGGTCCGCGGGCACCGGGCCCAGCCTGCCCCCGAGGAGACGGTTGCTCTGGGCGCCGCTGCGCTGGGCTCCGGGACAGCCCGGTCCCCGCGGGGAGGAGGGGCTGGGGGGGCGGTCCCCGCGGGGAGGAGGGGCTGGGGGGCGGTCCCCGCGAGGAGGAGGGACTTGGGGGGCGGTCCCCGCGGGGAGGAGGGGCTGGGGGGGCGGTCCCCGCGGGGAGGAGGGGCTGGGGGGGCGGTCCCCGCGGGGAGGAGGGGCTGGGGGGGCGGTCCCCGCGGGGAGGAGGGGCTGGGGGGCGGTCCCCGCGGGGAGGAGGCGGGCGCCGGGGCGGGGCCGGTGCTCCGGGTCGGTGCTGGAGGCTGGTGCGGGCCGTCGGGCGGGCGGACCGCCGGGAGCGCGCAGAGATGTGTCCGGTGTCCGCGACCCTCCGTGGCCGGGCGAGGCCGGGGGGCCGTTCGGGGGACGCCACCACCGCCCCCGGGAACCGGACAGGTGAGGCCAGGACCGGGCGCCGTCGCTCTCCGCGCCCTCTCCCCAGACGGGCCCCCCTGAACACCGGGAGGCGGG